GTATCCAAATTTCATTTATATAATGTTTATAACACACAATTTATAACATTGTTTTAATGATATGGATCGTCATCACTCTTTATATTGACTATATTGTGTGTCCGCATCTAATTTGAGCATCTGAGCATGTAGAATATTATCACGAGGTTGACGCTGATGAAACATTATTCTTTTATTGCCTTGGACCCGATTGTGTTTTATAAGCAAGCTAGACTGATTTCAGTTTTTGATCGATTTCTGTTTTGAGTAAATGTGATTTTCAAGCTATCTTGGTTCTTTGCATTTCAGATCGGTTCCAAGTTAAACAACTAATGTCTGAGCATATTCCAGAATTACTCCAAGAATGTATAGAGATTAACAGTTTCAGGCATAAAGAGATCACACCACAAATTACTGATTGGTTGAATGTCGTATGGAAATATATACACAAAAATGAGGATGTTTTCCAGTTATCATGGATTTCACATTTACATTTACTACCATTTCATAAAGAAAACAAACTCATCCAAGTTGATTCAGTGTCTATTTTGAGTTCAAAAGAAAAGATGGACACTTTAGATCCACAGTTATCGAATTCTCTTGAAAACCTTGGTGTAAAGATTATCACCTCACTCTCTAATACAATATCAGCACTAGTGGAGGGTAAATTTGTACAGTATCCTACAACTGAAGGTATATTTAACTGTATGAAGAAAATAACGAGTAAACAACAAATAGAACAGTTTAACCAAGCTGCCTCAACCAAGGAAAGAATTCAACTTCTTGAAAAATTTACAAACCTTTCTGGTGACCAGGTTTTGCAGATATCTGAGCTTGTTCGAAAACTGGAAATATTTGAGGTGATGAACAGTAACCGGTATGTTTGTTTAAATGAGATAAATAAAATGTATTATAGAGGAAACCATCCTGAACTACCTATACCCTATAAACGTACTGTTATAAAATGTTCATCAGAGTCTATCAAGAAAGTAGGAAGAATTTGTGGTTGTGTTTTCTTGGAATATGAAGAGCTCATTGAAGATATACTATCATCATTACCCAGCTATAATAAGCCTGAACAACTTAAATTCATGGAATTCTTCCTAAATCATTTATCACATTTTGAAAAGGAAATTAAAATAATGAAGTTAGCCGGTGATATATGTTTTATAGAGAACAAGAGTGGAGAACTTGTGAAACCAAGAGATTTACTAGACCCAAGTTCAACGTTACTTAAAGACATGTTTCAACCGTGTGACTTCCCTTCTAATAATTGTGACATCAAGAAATTGAAGAAGCTGGGATTAAGATTTGAAGAAGATTTAACGGGAAAGGACATCTTGAAACTTGCTGATACAGTAATTGATGATGGAACTGGTTCAGATGAGATTTTCAAGAAAGGAATGGCTCTATGTCAATGGATAGACAAATACAACGATAGATTGGACCAGGGACTGATATATCTATTGACCTCAAAGACAATCTGCCCAATTATGAACAAGAGACCAGAATATTATCCAAAAACGTTACCATTTATGGGAGAAGATGCTATGTTCCAGTTTAAAAAACCACAAGATTTATTCAGCTGTAAAGATGCCAATCTAGTTGGTGGAGTAGGTGTATTATCTAATGAAGATATACCAAAATGTTTTATAACATATATCAAACCTGTAGATGGAGAAGTATTTGAACAACTGAAATTGGTTACACTAAGATACGATCCGAAAGATAAAATTGAATTCTTACCAGTTCTGAATAAAATATATCAATATATAAACAACACTAATCTTAAAATACCAGACGAAATACTAAACCAGAAGATAGTATGGACTGGATCCACCTTCCAAAAGTTATCTTATGTCTACTGTACAGAAAAGAAGGACGATCTACCATTACAACCATACCGATATCTACTGCCTCCTGAAATTAAGGAATACCGAAATCTATTTGAAAAGTTTGGATGCATGAAAGAGCAAAACGACCAAATGTTGCTGGATGTATTGAGTAATATCAGAGAGGAGCATGACACAAATCAGACCCTAGACGAATTGGATGTTTCAAAAGACACATCAATAGTTTTACAGATAATAAATAAATTGGCCAATTCACCCGAAGATTACAGTCAGTGTATTTTATTGCCCATCCATACAGATTCGTCCAAGTTGCTGTTAAAACCAGCCAGTGAGTGTACTGTATGTAATGAGTCATGGTTAAAAGATTTGTCCAGTATGAATGATGATGATTATGATGCAGGTGAAGATGAAATCTTCTATGTTCATAAGGAAATATCTTCTTACACTGCAAACAGATTTAATGTCCCTGCTCTAAATGATCGTGTATTATGTGATGCTGATAAATTTGATATGAATTTCGGCCAGGATGAACCTTTAACAACTAGATTGAAAAATCTTTTAAATGATTATACTGATGGATTTACTGTACCAAAGGAAATTATTCAGAATGCGGATGATGCTGGAGCAAGTGTTGTGAAGTTTCTATATGACGAGAGAACCATGCCAGAAGCACTGAAATGTCTGTTTGATGAAGGTATGGAACCTGTACAAGGACCAGCATTCTGGGCATATAATGATGCTAAATTTACAGACACTGATTATGAGAATATAACAAAGTTAGCTGGAGCCACAAAGAAAGATGATCAAATGAAAATTGGTAGATTTGGGCTGGGGTTTAATTCTGTCTACAACCTAACTGATACACCAAGCTTTATTTCTGGTGATACATATGTTATCTTTGATCCTCATGAGACTCATTTACAGAAATCTGGATTAAAAATCAAATTAAATTACCCCAAAAATCGGAAAATGAGACAGAAGATGAAAGGACAGTTTTACCCATTTGACGGAGTCTTTCAATGTAAAGTTCTGAAGGAAGAACAGGTCGACTTTAATGGAACATTATTCAGATTCCCTCTTAGAATCCAATCAGAAGCGGCTAAAAGTTTGATAAAAGACTTCTGTTACTCAAAACATGAAATGAAGGAATTCATTCAAAAGATTGCAGATGGATGCGGAAATCTGTTGCTGTTCACTCAAAATGTAAGAAAAATTGAACTTCATCATCTACATAAAGGAGGCAAACCAAATGACGCACAATTAATACTGGAAGTTACCAAATCATCTAATCGGGATAATATTTCTGCTCTGAAGATATTGACAAGCCAATACAGCCAGCGCCAAGACGGTCAACTTTCACAATTATCAGAAGAAATTGAAATTTTGGTATCAGTCAAAAGGACAGAAACGGCACAAGACTATTTCGAATTACCACATAATGAAAAAACTTTGACTTATTTAATAAGTTGGAGCTTTGGGAAAGATAAAGTAGTGAATGCAGCAAAAAGAAAAGAATTTAAAGGTCTTCTTCCTATAGCTGGAACAGCTGTTTTAAAGAACAACCAGGATGATGATACCAGTGACTTTGGATTTTATGATAAATCACATCTGTTCTGTTTCTTACCTCTACCAATACCAACGAGTTTACCTGCTCACGTGAATGGTTCATTTGCAGTACAGTCTAGTCGTAGAGATCTTGTATGGAAAAATGAAGATGATATTGATGTTCCTGAAGATGAATGGAATATGTGCCTGCTGGAAGATGCTTGCTGCCAAGCGTATCTATTGATGATGACAACTATGGCTAGAGATGTACCAGAGGAGAAATACAACAGACTGTGGCCCAATATTTCACAGTGTGTATCTAGACATGATAAAGTACTATCAAGACATATTTATCAGACAATTTGTGCAGGTGATTATAGAGTGTTCCAGTCTAACAATGAACCTGTTTCTATTTATAATGCCATCTTTCTAGATCCAACCTTAAGAGAGAAAGATGTTATTGGTGAAATAGCCCTTAAAGCATTATGTCATTTCTCCATAACGAGAATGGATTCCTTAATCTCACATTTTCATGGTGGAATTTCTGTGGTAGATTTACTTCCGAACGTTTGGAAACAGTTTAAAAGTGTTGGCTGTGAAGAAGTAATTAGACACAGAATGGTAACAATTGAAATATTCTACAGTTGTTTATTTTTCCCAACATTGACTGATAAGTTCTGGTCTCCAGAAGAAATTGATGAATTACTTCTTTACAGTTTTCAGCTGAAAAATGATAGAATTAACAAGCTGATAGAAACTAGTGACTGTATACCAACAAAACCAAACCATAAAAGACTTAAACCAAGCTTATTAATTCATCCAAATGGTGAGATATCAGAATTGTTTGATGAATCTGAAGAACGTTTTCCAGATGATACAAAACTAAAGACGGGTAGCTTTAG